CGATGACTTCACAGGAAGTGAAATCTTTTTAGTCTGCTGAAAATGAAAACGATTTTGTTTTAATGCTGAAGAAACGCACAACTTCCTGTCTGAGCACACAGAGAGAGAGAGAGAGAGAGAGAGAGAGAGAGAATCATCTTCAGGTGTGACTCAGGTTACCTTAGATTAGGTTACCTTACCTAAGATTACCTCAGGTTAGATGTCAGCGTGTGAGCAGCGGGGCTGAAACCGCTGCTGATTGGTGGAGAGCGTGATGTCACTGCTGATGTCAGAGTGATGCTGATGTTTGTAACGTGTTACAGGAAAATAAAAGCTTTGCCTCAGTTTGTGCCTCCTGCCTTTTCTTCATGGATCAGCTGGAGCTCTGCGGTCGTCCAGCTCACGTTAGCTTAACCCTGAAATAAACAGCGAGGACAACTTTGCTCCGCCCTCCTCCACCCAGCAGGTCAGCCAGCGCAAGGAGAAGCTGCTGGTGTCAGACCTTGAGCTGAGGAATCAGCAGCTTCATCCTGATTCTGCGGCTCGAGTCCTCGCTGCCAGCAGAGGTGACGTCATTGAAGGAGCCCCAGGTGGCTCAGGTAAGACCTGAAGCCACTTTATCTGACACGCCCACCCCGACACGTCAGCGTGAACACGTCAGCGTGAACACGTCGGCAGCGTGAACACGTCGGCAGCGTGAACACGTCGGCAGTGTGAACACGGCGGCAGCGTGAACACGGCGGCAGTGTGAACACGTCAGCAGCGTGTTGCCCAGGGACAGACTGGAGCAGGGATCCAACTCCCAACCATCGGCTCCGCCTCCTGAGCTACAGCCGCCTCACCTCCCTCAAACACTGGAGTCTGAACGTTCATGTGACATCTCCACATTTCAGCACCAGACAGGAAGTGAGGTCACACACTGAGGAAGCTACAGTAAAACTTTACAGCATGAATCCCTTTGAGTCACTGCAGACAGACTCGAGCAGAAACTTGGGTGGAGGCGCCCCGGCCTCCGCCCACTGCAGGGCCGGACGAACACCGTCACCGAGACATTTTGTCTTTGTGTCGACGAGCTCACGTGAGTGCGGCTGAAAGAAGCTTCACCTGGACATGATTCAGCTCACCTTTATTTACATCACAGCAGTCACAGAGATCCACCTTAAACAATTCCACCTTAAATTTAAAGCCTCACAAAGGTGAACTGGTGGTTTTTTTAAAGGTCCAAACATTAAAAAGAAAGAAAGAAACAAACGAAGAACGCCGCACATTAAAGATAAATCATGATGTCACTTCCTGCAGGTTTGAGAGCGTAGCTTCCTCTTCATGATGCTGTGGTCGCTCTCCCGATCCTCCGCCGCCGCTCCGGGCGTCTGACGGGACAAACAAAGACGCGTTCATATTTAGAAACAAACAGCCGCTTCACGCCTCAGAGTCGGACTCCGTCTCACCGTGTGTGGCGAGTCCACCATCGGCGCCCACGGGTCCATATTGTAAAGCTTCCTGCGGCCTCGCCGGGGTTTGGTTGCCACGGTTACCGCCTCCTTCTCCCCCGAGCTTGTGTTTTTATCTGCAGAGAGGACGGGACGGTGAGTTCGCTCTGGAGCCGCAGGGCCTGTTAGAAACACTTCAGCTAAACTTGTTTAAAGACACGGCGGCAGCTCAGCGCCGCCCCCTGCTGGCGCTGGGTGATGGAGGCGTGGCTGACCTTTGCTGCCCAGGACGCACGGTGAGGTGTGGATCGCCTCTTCAATCTTCTGCAGAGCGCATCCTCTCTCCTGCACCACAGAAGAAGAAGAAGGTTTCAGGTGAGGGCTCTGAGGGCGTGCGAGTTCATCCACCTGTCGGCTGGGGCGGCTCACCTGAACGCAACGGGCGTTTGCCCTCGGTTTGTTCCTCTTGTTCTCACCGTACACCAAATCCTGAAACACAACAGCGCACACACGTCAGAGCGCCTGAGACACACAAACACACTCTGGGAGGCGGCTCCACCCTCTGGTGACTTTCAGCGCTGCAGACAGATTTATACGAAAGGAAAGAAGAAGAACGGCGTGTCAGCTTGTCCAGGTGATGCTGGTGGCGTTCAGGAGAATACTGCGGCGGCTTCCTGCTGTATAACGGATAGACTGAGTATACTGGCGCCGTTAGACTCCTC